TGATTGTGAATAATTGAAACATATCATTTACTACCTATTCAGGAATGTTTCAATGCGTTCGAAATATGTATGAAACGTTTCAAGGTACCTCAAACTATTGAGATTTTGAAACATTTCAAATATACTCTCATCGCGAATTACTTCGATGTTTCAAGACAACTTGAATTGCTTGATTGAGGAACATTTCAAAATCACCTGAATTTCAAATGATTGGAACATTTCAATATGACTCTCATTCTGATTGATGGAAACATTTTTCAGGAACATTCCAGGGATGTTGCAAAATCACTGTAATATTCCTGAAATATTTCAAAACTACTATAATTGATATATTCCAAAACATTTCGAAATTACTTGAGAAGTGAATGAATGAAACATTTCAAAACAAAAATTGGTAGTGAATAATTGAAACATATCATTTACTACTTATTCAGGAATGTTTCAATGCGTTCGAAATATGTATGAAACGTTTCAAGGTACCTCGACTATTGAGATTTTGAAACATTTCAAATATACTCTCATTGCGAATTACTTCAATGTTTCAATACAACTTCAATTGCTCGATTGAGGAACATTTCAAAATCACCTGAATTTTAAATGATTGAAACATCTCGATATGACTCTCATTCTGAATGATGGAAACATTTTTCAGGAACATTCCCAGAATATTTCAAAATCTTTGTACCATTTCTGAAACATTTCAAGACAACTTCAACTGATATATTCCGAAACATTTCAAAATTTCTTGGATAATTAATAAATGAAACGTTTCAAAATTTCTTCAATTGTTAATAATTGGAACATATCATTTTCTACTTATTCAGGAATGTTTTGAAACATTCCAAATATACTCTTATTGCGAATTACTGCAATATCAAAAGACAACTGAAATTGGTTGATTAAGGAACATTTCAAAATCACCTGAATTTCAAATGATTGGAACATTTCGATATTACTCTCATTCTGAATAATGGAAACATTCATCAGGAACATTCCAGGGATATTTCAATATCATTGCAACATTTCTGAAACATTTCAAGACGACTTTAATTGATGTATTCCGAAACATTCCAAAATTACTCGAATGATTAATTAATGAAACGTTTCAAAATCACTTCAATCGAAACATATCATTCAATACTGATTCAGGAATGTTCCAATGCGTTAGGAATATGTTTGAAAAATTCCAAGGCTCCTCAAATTATTGACATTTCGACACATTTATTAGGAATTACTTACCTACTACAATATTCCAAGACATGCAACTTGAATTGGTTAATTTAAGAATATTTCAAAATAACCCGAATTTTAATAAATTAATTAGATTATTTCACAACTATTACATGGTCTATTTTGACCAAGCATTTCATCATATTATGATGCAATTCAGCATTTCCCCTCTACAGCCGCCGCTTTCGTGGCTTCGGTAATCGATCGCGGGTTCCCGTCTTCGGCTCTAAGCGTTCGCGCAAGCGCATTCAGTTTCCTTCTCCTTGGTGAAAGGCTTCGCAGTTTTCGCTTTCCGACTGTTGTCTCAAGCCGAGCAAAGCAAAAGACATCTAATATCTTATAATAGTGATAAAATATAATTATTGTACTCAAGTCGAACACATTCACGAGTGTTATTATTTAATCGTACCGGTAGACCTCCTAGGTGATTTAGGCCATGTGAAGTAACATCAAAACTTGCAACCAAACAAACAACACGAACGACTCCATTTTTTTTATTATCCCCTGGTGTGGCTGGACTCTGAAATGTATTCAACGGCTCCATGGACAAGGCCGAGGTACGTATAAATATAGAAAAACCATAATTTCAGATGAAATATCAAATATTATTAGATATCATGATGGGTATATTCATAATGATACTTTTTGTTCTAGGATGGAGTGTGAAAAGTTCATCATGACTTAGAAGATGCACAAGAATAGTGCTTTCAATTGTGATGTAACCGAAGAAAAATATTGAAGCACTCAACATATGTGAATAACGATGTTAAATTACTTGATATATATGTACATACCTAATACGTCGTGATTATGTGGAATATCTGATGATACTTTTTTAACTGCTTTTTTTTTATATATCATTATATAAGCAATATAATCCATTTTTTAATGTCTATTATCTTTTATTTCACCAGCAATATGAATATATTCCAGCGATATTGGTAGGTATTTTTCATTCTGAAACATTCAATGGGAATGTTTCATAAACAGTAATATTGTTGGATGAAAAACATTCATGAAATGTTTCATGAAACATTCCCGAAAGTTCTACAATGAATGTTCCCAGGATGTTTCTATATATATGTATTTGAAACATCATTTATGAAACATCTCTGGTGGCGAAAATTCATCGTTTCAAAAATATTCATGGAATGTACCAAGAAACATTCCTAAAGATCTAATCATATTGGGAATGTTTCCAGAATGTTTCAAGCATTTATATTCGAAACATCATTCATGAAACAGTTTTGAGGGCAAATATCTTTGGTTTCACGAATATTTCTGAAACATTTCATGTAATATAACGAAGGAAATATTTATGAAATATTGCATGAAACATTCCTACAGGATATGATCATGGTAGAAATGTTTCCAAAATGTTTCAATTTGCGTATTCGACACATTATTTAGGAACATTACCATGAAACATCCCTGAGGGCGGACATCTCTAGTTTCTGGAATGTTTCTGGAACATGTAGGCAACTTCGAATGCAATGTTTCATGCATCAATACTACGTTTCTGAAACATTTCAGAAACAAAAAAATGTTTACTGGGTACGTTCACTCGACGTCGAGATGATGACGTGATTATCAAGTCATAAAAAGTACGTCACAGTGACTTCATAAATTGGTATGTGACGTCTGTGACGAAAAATCACCAATTTGAGACGTCACAGTGACGTGATCATTCGTCATCTGGTTGCCTGGGAACTAGGGAAACGTTCTTCTCCAGAAGTTTGTGTCACTATTATCACAGTCCGCTTGGTGTAAATGACAGCATAGGTGACTGTGATCTTAAAGATCTGCGATGGTGAAGATCTGCGCTGGTGAAGATATGCGCTGGTAAAGATATGGGTTGATGAAGATATGCGCGAAAGTGCTGAAACTAGTGCTAAAGCCCCTCCTCCTAGGCATTCCTCCTGGCATGCTAACAGCAGTCAATCCAGAAGTCCAGTGTCGGAATGAGGGAAAGTACTTCCACTAATCCACTGGGCTGGACCCTGCAGCCTCTCTTCCTGGGGTTCCTCCCGGCGTGACGACACCATTCAGCTCAGAAGATGTGTTGCAGCGCGGAGGAAAGAAAGGATCTCCCCTGATCCAGTGTGCTGGGTTCCGTAGCTCCTCTTCCTGGATATTCCCTCTGACGTGTCAAAAAAAGCAGCTCAGGAGACCAACATCAGTGCGCTAGGCCCACCTTAGCATTTCCTAGGATCTTCGAGTACCCTAGTTCATGTAAAAATATGTTCAATTGCTCCGAACTCGTCGAACAAATCTAGTACAAGAATTCTCAGTGAACGAAACCAATCATCGAAAACATTACTCACCTTCTAAGAAGGGTTGAATGAGTGCAAGAAATATTTTGGCTGGAGCACGTGACTTGACTCCACGGCGGCTCCAAGTCAGCGAAGACCCATCGGGCTCACAAATCCGAAGTTGATGACGGTGGGAAAGTTGTGAAAAAATTGATATTTCACCTGATTTCTACCAAGTGATTCAAAATATCAGCACCACACTTGATGGCTCGCATCTTTCATCATGGCTGCTCGGGAAGAGATCCTCAAGGACCAAAATTCCTCTGAAGTCCACTATTCCCCACCCTCGACAACGACTGTTCACGAAACAACTACAACAACAAATGTTCTCGTATCCTATTGGTGGAGATTAGGACTGAGAACTAGAAGTTCGAATAAACCTGTTCAAAACAGGAACCAAAGACAGAAGAAACTTCTCATTCTTCTTTTCACTTCCGCAAGTCCATTATGAAGATAAACAACAAAAGCTGATGATTGCTTCTTCTTCTTCTCCATTTTTTGAAAGAATTCCAGGAGAATGAAAAAACACACAATCTTGAACAACCACTTATGAAATTGAAAAAAACTCATGAGTCCCTAACGGCACCAATACTATGAGGAACACCACAGGTGAGTCAATTTTCAGGACCTGTTCATTGGATCAGAGAATGAAGCCAAAACTAAAATCATAACTTTCTACAGGTAGGCTGAACCTCAGAAAAAATAATCTGAATTGTTAATATCTTCACGGAAATCAGCTCTAAGTGTTTTTTGATGAAGATGACGATCTGATTCATCAAAGACTATCCAATGGCTGAGTGTTCTCTGGAGTATGTACCTTCTCTCATGTGACTATTTATGTACACTATGTAGAAATGAACTAATCATGAAGTTAATCAACTAAAAACTTATTTTAGCAATTCCGAACGCCACACTAAAATTTTTTTTTCAAATTGGCCTATTTTTTCAGAAAACACCAATGAATACAATGTTCACCATCACACCACCACATGATGGACGTTTAATGAGCTCAATTGAAACAGTCTTCATCAAATTATTTTGGAGACACATCTGGCAGGTTATAGTGATATAACATTTTTATAACCCGAACTCAATTCTAATAGGCAATTATATCAAGAAGTTTCGATTTTCGTCAACTCATTCCTTTTTGTTGATTGTTGATGTTTTACTAGTCTTTCACTTTTCTCCTGAAGCAAGTTCCTATCAGCTGAGGGCTGCCAGTTTGGTTTTTGCGAGTGTTACACCAGTAGTGTTGAGGTAGCCGTTCATGTTTGTGTATTCGCTTCCAACGACCGAGATGATTTTTGTCAGTGTGCATAATCGTAGCATTCATACAATTATTAATTGATAATTTCTTACTTGTTCAGTGAATCGCAGGACTTCCTTTAGAGAAAAATGTTTCGGGTGATGATTTCAGTAAATTTGCACAAGAAAGAACTTTTGACTATTGGGGTTTACCTTGAAAATAGCTTGCAGAGTACGTCGTTGGAGATCTGTAAAAACTAGCCTCGGCTTCTTGGGGGTCGGTAGTTGTTCCGAATTGTTCGTATGCTCCTCTTTCCGTTTGCAACCTGTTAAACCAATGATACAAAAATTGAAAATAGCAGCCGTCTTCTGATCATTAAAACTATTATATCATATAAGTTGTTGGTTTTCGGTGGTCTGAATTCATAAAATGCTTGAAAAATGATTAACTGAAACCAGCAACCTTGTCTATACAGGGTGATCCATGACTGAATGTAAAAAGCTGATAGAAATGATTTTTTTGATAATTCATCAATTTTCAGTTTATTAAAAGGAAGTATATTCTGTATGTATAACGATTGGTATATAAAGGTAAGAATATTTGATAGGTATATGTTAACTATATGGAGGTTGTCCTTATTTTAGATATGTGCTATACTCAACTGCGACTTCTACGAGGTTTGTATTCGGAATAAAAGGTGTTGGAGCTAGAAAAGATGAATACACACCCACCATTAACGATTTTTTGTGATTGTCTGATTTGTTGTGTTAGATAATCAAATCAATAGCATCTCCTTCTATAGATTGGAAGTCAACAGAAAACCAAACCTTCATTTGAAATGGAGATAAAATGGAAGTGTATTTCAGAATTGGTGCTTGTATATTGAAAATAAACAACTGACTGTCTTTTCTGGTTCATCCGGAATAACTTTCAATTTCGATAATTCAAATAAAAGGCCTTGTGACTCTTTTTAAACTGAAAGGTATACGGCAATTCTCAGTAGGCAGGTGCGTAGTTTGTTATTTTTCAATAAGGATAGTTACTGAATAACAGACATGGGTGTCACCAGGAATAAGTTAAAGAAGGCATGCAGGAAAATATGATTGGTTACAGAGGAGAAATGAATTGAAGGCTGAACAAAAATATATTGCTCAATAGAAAGTTAAGTTTTGGCAGCTGCATGTTTTCATGCACATTATATGGCGAAGATAACAGAACAGTCAATATATAGATGCTTTCTTTATTGAAGCGAATTTGAATATCTAGATAAATATGGACAAAACCTAAATAGGTACAAATTAACATGTAAGTTTAAAAATGGGTAAAAATATTTGTTCTGTCACAGACACAAAGAACACGATGAGAATATTTCATTTTTCCTTCTATTCGAATACTTCCAAAAAGGCACTGTGCTTCTTTTTATCCAATTGAGTATGAAATATAAATCACGCCATATATCTGAAGGACAAGAGACAAATAGACAAGACACTAGCAAAGAACTTATCAGCTAATATTATAATAACACTATTTCCGATTCAGCTATCTTAATGAGCCCATTAACGAAATTGAACGAACAGAAAACAGTACTCAGATAATATAGTTATGAGTACCTTCTCCAAATCGAATCTGGAACAATAATGTGATAATCAAAAATTCAGAATAACAAATTGATATAATGTTTCCATTAGAACATTACAGTATGAGTTCGGTAATCTCTTGATCACCCAGTACGATCTATTGATCTCTGTACACATTGATCATGACAACACTTACACACGAACAATCAGCCTGATCTCAAAGATCTATGAGAAATAGTAGTACAAGAAATAAAAGGAGGTGTATGAGAGTGGTTATTAGTAGCAAGCAGAGCGAAGACAAATGAATGAAACACGCGAGTAACATAATATCTTCAATTCGACCTCGAGTGAAATCAGAACCAAGTGACAGATCACACTACCCCGACACTACCCTGTTTCACTACCAGGTTCGATAAGGATAGGTTTTATGTGAGTAGCAAGAATACCGCTCCTCCACTGCCACCCTAGATGGGTCTACTGTGGCTCACCCCTAGAGGATTCCCTGTACAATCCACTTCTTTTCACAAAGTCCATGATTGAATGGGGTGAGATCTGACTTGAATTGATAGGTGCTAGATTGGTGGAGCCAAATATGTCGAACCTCAGCCTAACAAGAGCATGAACATAGTATGTTTTCAGTCAGTTCATCTTCAACACAGCAGATACGACAGACTGCTTGTTATTTCAGACACATACTTCCTAGGTGGTATCTTAGACGACAGTGTCCCGTGAGAAGTCCTGTAGGAATTTGCAGGTTACCCCTTCTCCATTTTAGGATCTGCCTGGTTATATTTTCCGATGGCTTAGGCAGGAACGCCTTCGAATGGGTTGATCCTGTTAATTCAGGCCAGTAGGTGAGTCTTTCCTCCTCCGCCTAGTCCGAGATATTTGTTTTGGCAGCTCTTGTGGTGACCCCAGAGTATGGCTCTGGTCCAATGTACACAGATTCGGTTCCCTGTTTGGCGAGGATGTCAGCTTTTTTGTTGCCCTCCACTCCCTGGTGTCCAGGCACCAACAGCAAAGTAACTTCGTTGTTAGCACCCAGGCATTATAGGAATTCAATACAGTTACATACAAGCTTGGAAATTATCTTGCTGGAGCTCAGTGCTTCAAGAGCAGCCTCACTGTCTGATACAATACTGATGTTTCAGTTTACAAGAGGTCTATTCGTCATTTCTCTAGCACATAATTCGATTGCGATCGGCTCCGCTTAGAAGAATGTACCAACCTCACCAAGATTCACAGAGATTTCCGCCTTCGGTTTTCTGCTGAATACACCGGCTTCAACTCCCTAAGCAGGGTTTTTGAACCATCTGTGTACATTACGTGTTCGATCTCTGGGATTTGAATTGATCCTCATACCCACTCGTCTCTCTTCGGAAAGAGGACTATGAGAAACATTTTCACATGTATCTGGGTTGCCAACATGTCGAGAACCATTCCTAGAGTTTGGTGATTTTCTATTTCACACAGTATCATGTAGGCGTATTTACTAACTATACTACTGTGCAGACCCAACGTACTCTGTACAACGGTACATTTTGCAATCCGAAAAATGCAAATTTTCACATTTCTAACAAAACTAATGTATAGTGCGGCAAAGCTCTGGATGGTAGTATGATTTATAAATGCATTAACGCGCGTTTTAGAGTTGAATCTACTAGCATACAATGTACACACAACATCTAATGGATATGAGTAATGGGTTACAATTAAAATTCATGAAACAGTAGGCACAAAATATGTATTCAATCTCAGATAGTAGTCCATGTTTGCTCAAATCAGAATGGAATTCTCCCTCGAATTCTTCATAGGTAGGAAGGAAAGCTCTAAGTGATATCAAAAATTTCAATATTTACATCATTGAAAGCGTGGAGATGAATTCGAGCTTCAATTTCTCCCTATTGAAAAGGTATTCTGTACAAAAATGTAGGTAAAATATTAACGTAAAAAGGGTACCGCAATCAGAACGCGAGTAGGTACATCTGGGAGAAAGTACAGGCGCGTTAATGCATTTATAAATCATACTACCATCCAGAGCTTTGCCGCACTATACATTAGTTTTGTTAGAAATGTGAAAATTTGCATTTTTCGGATTGCAAAATGTACCGTTGTACAGAGTACGTTGGGTCTGCACAGTAGTATAGTTAGTAAATACGCCTACATGATACTGTGTGAAATAGAAAATCACCAAACTCTAGGAATGGTTCTCGACATGTTGGCAACCCAGATACATGTGAAAATGTTTCTCATAGTCCTCTTTCCGAAGAGAGACGAGTGGGTATGAGGATCAATTCAAATCCCAGAGATCGAACACGTAATGTACACAGATGGTTCAAAAACCCTGCTTAGGGAGTTGAAGCCGGTGTATTCAGCAGAAAACCGAAGGCGGAAATCTCTGTGAATCTTGGTGAGGTTGGTACATTCTTCTAAGCGGAGCCGATCGCAATCGAATTATGTGCTAGAGAAATGACGAATAGACCTCTTGTAAACTGAAACATCAGTATTGTATCAGACAGTGAGGCTGCTCTTGAAGCACTGAGCTCCAGCAAGATAATTTCCAAGCTTGTATGTAACTGTATTGAATTCCTATAATGCCTGGGTGCTAACAACGAAGTTACTTTGCTGTTGGTGCCTGGACACCAGGGAGTGGAGGGCAACAAAAAAGCTGACATCCTCGCCAAACAGGGAACCGAATCTGTGTACATTGGACCAGAGCCATACTCTGGGGTCACCACAAGAGCTGCCAAAACAAATATCTCGGACTAGGCGGAGGAGGAAAGACTCACCTACTGGCCTGAATTAACAGGATCAACCCATTCGAAGGCGTTCCTGCCTAAGCCATCGGAAAATATAACCAGGCAGATCCTAAAATGGAGAAGGGGTAACCTGCAAATTCCTACAGGACTTCTCACGGGACACTGTCGTCTAAGATACCACCTAGGAAGTATGTGTCTGAAATAACAAGCAGTCTGTCGTATCTGCTGTGTTGAAGATGAACTGACTGAAAACATACTATGTTCATGCTCTTGTTAGGCTGAGGTTCGACATATTTGGCTCCACCAATCTAGCACCTATCAATTCAAGTCAGATCTCACCCCATTCAATCATGGACTTTGTGAAAAGAAGTGGATTGTACAGGGAATCCTCTAGGGGTGAGCCACAGTAGACCCATCTAGGGTGGCAGTGGAGGAGCGGTATTCTTGCTACTCACATAAAACCTATCCTTATCGAACCTGGTAGTGAAACAGGGTAGTGTCGGGGTAGTGTGATCTGTCACTTGGTTCTGATTTCACTCGAGGTCGAATTGAAGATATTATGTTACTCGCGTGTTTCATTCATTTGTCTTCGCTCTGCTTGCTACTAATAACCACTCTCATACACCTCCTTTTATTTCTTGTACTACTATTTCTCATAGATCTTTGAGATCAGGCTGATTGTTCGTGTGTAAGTGTTGTCATGATCAATGTGTACAGAGATCAATAGATCGTACTGGGTGATCAAGAGATTACCGAACTCATACTGTAATGTTCTAATGGAAACATTATATCAATTTGTTATTCTGAATTTTTGATTATCACATTATTGTTCCAGATTCGATTTGGAGAAGGTACTCATAACTATATTATCTGAGTACTGTTTTCTGTTCGTTCAATTTCGTTAATGGGCTCATTAAGATAGCTGAATCGGAACAAAACCTCTCTCTCTAATTGTTTCATCGATTGTTTCCAGAACGTTCCAGAATCTT